AGCATCAACCGCGGGGTAAGTACTCGTAACTCTCTTAGGGACACCATAGGACACATGGCTTTTGTATCTCAAATTGAACCTACAACCATTTCCGAAGCAATAAACGATGAACATTGGACCTTGGCTATGCAAGAGGAGCTAAACCAATTCAAACGAAATGACGTTTGGGAATTGGTGCCAAGGCCTGATGATCGCACGATTATTGGTACGAAATGGGTGTTCCGTAACAAACTTGATGAAAATGGAATAATCACTAGAAACAAAGCTAGGCTCGTAGCTAAAGGCTACAATCAAGAAGAAGGCATTGATTTTGAAGAAACGTATGCACCTGTAGCACGTTTAGAAGCTATTCGTTTACTTCTTGCTTTTGCTTCGTCTATGGATTTTAAACTTTATCAAATGGATGTTAAGAGTGCCTTCCTCAATGGTTTTATTCAAGAGGAAGTGTATGTTGACCAGCCCCCGGGGTTTGAGGACTTTGAGTTTCCCGATCACGTCTTCAAACTCAAGAAAGCGCTCTACGGTCTTAAACAAGCACCACGTGCTTAGTACGAACGTTTGAGTAAATTTCTTTTGTTTGTGCAGAAGATATTGTCATCCTTGCAAAAATTCCTAGACTCAATAAGAATAAAAAGTCTTCGGAGTCTTCGCTTCACTTCAAAAAACTGCGTAGGGGTGAGCGTCAATTTTATCGCCGAAACTTCTTGATGTCCTTCTTTGCTTTTCTCGATCCGAAAAAAGTTTTCGAATATCGATTTAATCATCCTCTTTGTCATTCATCAAAACAAAAAAATAATCCAAAAAATAATAAAGGGGTTTGAACTCATGTCCAACAATTTCCCCCTTTTTGATAATGACAAACATAGTTGAGAAAGAGCAAAGTAAGAGTTCAGAAAATACTTCCTTTTAAGAATAATTCCCCCTGCAAGGTTAGAGAAGTGCAGAAAGAAAAAAATAATTATCGGAGTAATAAGCGGAAAAAAAATTTTGAAAATAAAGTTTTCTCAACGATCTTTCCTTCCCCCTTTTGGCATTATCAACCGATAACCTTCCCCCTTAAACAATGCCGGAATATTGAAGAAAAAAGATGGCAAGAGTTTTCTTTAAAATGCCACAAGGGGACAATATGTTCTAAATAAGAACAATATTGCCACACCAACAATGATACTAATACATAAACAGTTAATATTAACTAGCATCATCGAAAGGAAACATCATCATCCACCAAAAGAGTCATAACAAAAAACAATGTATCATAATCAGTCAAGAGAAAAATAACAATCAAAGAGAGTTCGCCGGACGAGCTCCTCCGCCAAAGCTGTGACGCGGGCCACGGTAGGAGCGAGATTGCTCAAGACGAGTCATCCTCTCGTTGAGCTGGCGAACGTCATCTCGGATGCACGTGAGAGTATCGAAGATCTTCTTCACCCAAGAAGGTTCCGATGCTTCTTCTCTCGGACGAGTCCTCCGTTGACGAGTGACGCGCTCCGTGGCTCGACTTCCTCCGGCTTGAGATGACTCAGCTTGATTCTCGTTTTGGCTTTCTTCTTCTTCTTCGGCGACTATCAGGTCCAGATTTGGTGCAGCATCGCCCTCCTCTCGATACACGATCCGGGAAAACTTGGCTTCAGTGATGAAACACGTCTTCTTGACCGGCACCTGAGTGTCCCGAGTAAAGTCTATTTTGCAATGAGCAAGGATATGCATAATGGGGATGGCAAAACGGAGATGGGAAAAACGAGTGCCATCGCTAAGTGCAACGATAAAGAAGTGAACCCAATCAAATTTGACATCGTTCAACAGGACGTGAAACAAACGAATATCGTCCTTGTTGACAACGCCATGGTTC